ATTAATGGTTAAATGTAATTTTTTAAATAAAAATAAAAGTTTATAAAGTGACAAAATTTATGGAAACTTTGCGTTGACAGTTAAAATATCAGTTTAATTTCAATTTTCATACGGTATTACACATTTGCGCCAATTATAATGTTATGGAAGAAATTGATATGCAAAAATGACTGAGTAAGAGTAAATAGACTGGATGTTAATTGAATTCAAATAATTTAAGATCAAATTTAAAAATGAAAAAAAGTTGATGGAAAATTTTCCTTATTTTTTATTAATGTCTTTTTAAAAAGGCTTTTTTTTTCTTCAATGAATTTCGGTTTGTTTAAAATTAATTTAAGCTATAATTGGGCCGAATTTTAGGATCGATCATTTAGCAATCACAAAATGTTAAGACAAGAATATCATAATAAAGATTCCTTTATCATCAGAACAAAAATTGGTTCACATAACTTTTTCAGCAATAATTGAACTTTGACACAAAGCTGCAAATAAGCCAATAGCATAAAAATGGTGAGTAATATGGTAATTTATGAAGGCAAATTTACATATCAAAATGTAAAAAACAAATTCATATCATATCAAAATGTAAAAAACAAATTTTTAAAGTCTCAAAAAAAAAGTTTGAATTATGATTAAATTATAAAATGACATTTTTAAGTGCATAATTGCTTGCTAAGCCTTAAAGGTCGTCGTTTATTAGTGTTACATAAATGAAATCGTGATAATGCTCTATTCAAATTAGTAACATCAATGGTTGATGAATGATTCTCGTCAACAATATTTTCTTGTGATTGTAACATCTCCTAAAAATTCACCATTATTATCATGAAAAATTTAACTTATATACATTGATCTTATTAAGTTTCAATTAAATTTGAATTAAAAATGGATGAAATTAAATTTAAAATTTTCACGACGCAATAAAAGTTTAGAAAATAAAACAATTGATAAATTTACAAGAAATTTATATGTTTAAAAAAATTTTTTTTAATTTTCCATAAATTTATGTTTCCAAAATGTTTAATTTCAGTTCTTCATTTTATCATCTCACTTAGTGATTGTTACATATAATTGTAAAATTAAATTAGAATTAAATTAAAATTTGTAAATGAAAACCTCAAGGAAATGATATAATCCATGATATGATTGATAAGCTCCAATTCTGAACATTCCACCAAATTTTGCTTATACGGTAACATACGGCGCAATTTAGCAATTGTTCGCTTATGTTCACGTCGTTTACATGATGTTTTACTTATACGACCACCTTGCAACGGTACTTCATAAAACTCTGACAGTTTACATTTGGATGACACTGATGATGATGATGATGGTGATGATGACGATGATGATGATAATGATGATGATGATGATGATGATGTGGATTTGGATGTGGATGGTGATATAGTTGAAGGTGTAGATACTGGTTCTGGTGATGATTGCAATGAGGATAATAAAGACATGATGAGTATCTGAAAATAATTTTAATTTTTTATTTTTTCAAAAAAAAAGATTACGAAACATTTAAGCATCGATACTTGACTTTCCATTATTAAAAAAAAAAATTACTAAATTTATAATTGTCGATGGGATAAAGTTGAAATGTAGTTAATAAGTTTAGAAATACAATTCATTAAAGATACATCATTACTCATTATATTAGATATGATAAAAAGTTCTGAGCAGATAGTGAAATTTCAACAAATTTAATTTGCATACATTCGGTCAACCATCTTATGAATCATTTAAATCTTATCGAAATGTCATCTAACGATGATAGAAAAAAGAACTGCTTATAGGATGAATAATTAAATAATATGAAAGATATCTGATTATTTTTTAAATTACACAAGCATATTTCATATTTATCCTCAATTAAAATAAAAAAAAAAGGATAGAAGGAAAAGATAGTAAACGAAATTGACCGGATCACTTTTGAAAATACCGGATTATACCTTCCTGAAAAGATTGAGAAACAACCATACACCAATTGTCATCGTGTGCTTTTTGTGTCCTCCTCCTTTGTAATTGACTCTTTAAAATGCAATGACCGCTCCTCCCTCCTTTAACTCGACCTCCTTTTCCTTATCATCATTTCTATTCTATGACCACGCCCGAAATACACCGTAACATGGAAAGTGATGAAATAAAAAAGTGTGACAATTAAAAAAAAAAAAGCGAAATTGAAATGTATTTTTTCGATAAATTTCACAAATTTTTTCAAGTTCAAAATTCATTACAAAAAAAAAAATTATTTAAGAAATAAATTTTTAAAAATAAAATTTTAGCTATGATTAAATATAAACAATGTAAGTATAAAGTTAATATTGAAGCTTTGAAGAGATATTAAAATAATAACTAAAAAAAATTTTAATTAATAGGACTAAAAATATTTAAATAAAAGAAAAATATTAAACAAATTTAATTAAGCATAAATCAAATAAACTAAAAACTTTAATATATATGCACCAGAAAGTATCATAAGGTCATAGGTTAAAGATAGACAAATGACTAAAAGTATTGGAAAGGTTAATAACATAAAACATTTTGTGTCTGTAATCAAATTGCAAAGGTATGCGCAACTAACAAACGACATCATAAATGTTGAGCATGTAACACCTGCAGAAGTTATTATGGTATAGTACTGTGATATTAGCATAGCTGCAAATGCGGATAAGCAATTTACTGTAATTTTTGCTTTCTAATGGAAATAATGGCTCTTTTCGTATAGATGGATAAAATCATTTTCTGATAAATATTGGAATTAAATTGAAGGACTGGAAATTAAGTTTAATTAAAGATTAAGGAGAATTAAATTAAATTATAGATGGATGAAATCGGATAAATGGATAAATCGTACAAATGGATGAAATCATTTCTGATAAATACTGGAATTAAGTTGAGGGACTGAAAATTAAATTTAATTAAGGATCAAGGAGAATAAAATTAAATCCAATTAAAGATCAATGAGTACAAGAATTGACAACAAGAATAAGAAATAATTATTGATAAAAATAATTGTGATTTAACTGTCAACCAAGTTTAAGCTTACTTTAAATTAAATTTAGGAAATTAAAAGACTAAAAATTAAATTTCGTCCTTTTTTGAAATGTGGTGAAATTGACACTTTCCAATTTTCTCATATAGTGTCAACTTAAAAGAAATGTCCCCATAAAACTATTGCATTATAAAAACTGTCAAACTACTACTCTAGTGATAGATGATTTTTTTGCAAATTAGTAATAGATGAATAAAAATTTCGAAAACTTTTTTACTTTAACATGCAGCATGCTATAATTCAATCAAATAATGCAAGCATGCATAACATGCAATTGCATGTTATTGCAATTTTAAAAACACAGTCCCTTGTTGATGAAAGTTTAGTATGATTTTGAAGTACTTTGTTGATGAATAAAAATGTTGATCGGTATATGTACTTTGATGTTTGTTTGTTCTTACAAGAGTAAACTCTTTCTCTCTCTCTCTCTCTTTTTTTTTTCTTCCTAAACACCTGAATACACTTTGATCATTATTAGGTACTCAACCAGATGGTACCTGTAACCTTTAGTTATACCGACTTAATTCAATTTTGACATAATCAAATTCGAATATATAATCAATCAATTCCATTAATAATATTTTTTAGTACTATTAAAACAAATACAAATATCATATCAGCTTAAAAAAATTAAAATGTTTTAAGTTTGTGATTATCATTTTAATTACAATTAAAATGTGTTCACAAATAAAATATAATAAAGGCCAAGAAGTGTACACCAGATGGATAAGAGCAGCAGGAGCAGAAGTAGTAGTAGTAGTAGTAGCTTCTGGCCTATATTGTGCAGCTGTTAGTCTTCTAATAACGACACAACATGACACGATACGGGAATATATAGCTTAGAATCGGGGTCGGAGTCTGCTTATCATCATCTGCTCTATCCAACAGATCTTCCAGATGTATGCAAAAAGTATTCCTCCATTTATAATAAGTCAAAAATTAGGATCTCATAGCATTCACTGTTTACTAGCTTATTTTTATCTTATAATTAATTAAGGCCAAGGAATATGGAACGATAAGAAGTATCCACCAGATGAATTAAGGGGGAAGTAATATGCGCCAGATGAATTAAAGCCAAGAAATATACGCCAGATGAATTAAAGCCAAGGAATATGCATCAGATGAATTAAAGCCAAAAAATATGTGCCAGATGAATTAAATGGAAGAAATACGTGGCAGATGAATTAAAGCCAAGAAATATGCGCCAAAGAATTGCATCAAAGGCAAGAAGTATGTGCTAGATGAATTAAAACTAAGAAATATGCGCCAGATGAATTAAAACTAGAAATATGCGCCAG